AGACAATGCTGGATTTGGCAGAGCAGTGCTGCAGTCCACTTGTCCTTGAACTCTGAACCTACCTCCTGAATCTGCTTAGCAGTCACCTACAGGGGAATGGACATGAGCAAACACTTGAAGAATTAAAAACTGTTACTAACCTTTCCGTAACCCTTGTTCTTCGAGATGTGCTGCTCATGTCCCTTCCAAAACCTGCCCTCCTACCCCTAAGTCAGAGTTGCTGGCAAGAAGGAACTGAGGGGGTGATGGGGTGGCAGACCCCTATATACTCCAGGGAGCGTCGCAGCCAATCCAACAGATACCACTGAGGGAAAAACCTTCCAACAACTGTGCACGCAGTGCGCACATGCTACATGGGAATGGACATGAGCAGCACATCTCAAAGAACAACCGTTACGGAAAGGGTAGTAACCATGTTTTTTCTGCCTGGGTGCAGGGGAAGGCCTTGATGGCAGTCCAAGGTCCCTTCCATTGGTTCCATGCAAGTCTGTAACTGACTGCACTGGAGCAGCTCTTGATGTCACAGGAGCTTCTCAGACATTTCCTCTGAAATAACAGAGAAGAGTACTCCAGACCACAACCCGGTGAGAAACTTCTAAAAACCAGGCCCGTCGAAAGGAAACTGGAACTGTGTTTGCCCAATACATTGTTAGACATGTCTGTGCAGGAGCCAGCTCTGAAACTGGCAGAAAGCCCCTGGTGTGTTGGGGTGATTCCCAGAAAGGGAGGTGTGGGTAGCGTGTGGCTCACTTGCAGCCACATTGTGCCCTCAGAGCCACACACAGCGTGGCTGGCATGAAATGGCTGCAGCATGGACGCGAATTCCCAACATGGAGGCTGAGTTCAACAGCATTCACTTCAGCCTGTCTGCACGTGTGTCGCTGAGCCATCGACGAAACCAAGGGGAGCTCTGAATTACTGGAGCTCAGGGAGAGGGGCCTGTATGGGATCCTAAGGGGGGTGGGGAAGCGATGTGGTGAAGGCAGCTCGTCCCCACCTTGAGCCCTTTCATAGAATATCAGGGTTGGAAGGGACCTCAGGAGGTCATCTAGTCCAACCCCCTGCTCAAAGCAGGACCAATCCCCAGACAGATTTTTGCCCCAAATGGCCCTCACAAGGATTGAACTCACAACCCTGGGTTTAGCAGGCCAATGCTCAAACCACTGAGCTATCCCTCTCCCCCTTTCTTTTTTTATTAATTAAAAAAAATATTGTAAAAATTTAGCAGGACTAATCCCCAGACAGATATTTGCCCCAGACCCCAAAATGGCCCCCTGAGGGATTGAACTCCTAACCCTGGGTTTAGCAGGCCAGTGCTCAAACCACTGAGCTATCCCTCCCCCAACAGAACAAGCCTTGTACTCATACATGTGGAGGGGACAATCTGGGCCACATGAGGGGGTGGTTGGGAAGCTCTTGGCAGCTTTTTTCACAGCCATGATGTCAATGAATTCAAAGTCTATTGTGACTCTTGGCAACCAGCAGAGACTCCTCTAAACTTGAGCGGCTGGACTGTTATAGGCTTCTGTGTAGCTCCTTGAACGCTCTTGTTTCTATCTCTTTGGAAGCAAGGAGTGGAATGGACTCTCACTGGAGATCTCAGGGCACAGCGTCAGGTTCCTCACCCCGCAGTCTGTGGCCAATTTGGTGTCAGACACGAGGAGATATCGGCAAGAATGTGGTCAGACCCACCATATTGCAGAGACCCTCCCCAGACGCAGTCTCTCTCCCAGCCCTTGACAAACTCTTCTCCCTACCCGACTGGAGAAACATTCACATTCTCTCACCCTTGAATCTTTGAACTTCCCGCAGCCTGGCCAAACCAAGCAAACTGACTGGCCCTGGTTACTTCTGCCTTGCACCACCGTGTTTGCCTGTCTTCAGAGTAGATGCCTCTTCTGATTGTAGGGCCCAGAACCAGCCTTAATCCACAGCCAGGTCCAGCAGCATGTACGTGGCGATATAGTTTTTGGAAGTCACACAGTGCTGGGGTACATTAAACCCCTGGGGCGCCAGTCATGTGCCAGGTTTACCGTGACTTGGACGCAAGCACTGTTGGTGGGTTCAGGAGCTAGGTCGTGTAGGTGCTGCTAACCCTGGTGGGTCCCAATAACCACTCAGACCCATGGCTCAGGGGAGTTTCTGAGGACTGGCAGGAAAGGGGAAGGTTGAAGGTACCCCAGGTACAGAGGGTAACAGCTACAGTTCAAAGGGAGTGAGAGCGGTTCCTGTTGGGCCCCTGGGGGCCATCCAGTCAAGAAGCAGGGATCTTCAGGCTCAGTGCCTGGGGTAGGGTTACCATTCGTCCGGATTCTCCTGGACATGTCCGGATTTTTTGAGTTAAAAATAGCGTCCGGGGGGAATTTGTAAATGTCCGGATTTCCCCCTGTCATAGAAATTTCTGTCCGTTACAGCTGAGGAATAAGGAGAGACGGACACAGCTAATCAAGCAAGGAGCCCCGGGAGGGGCGATCCGTTTATTTCAATTGCAATTGGGTTCGAGCTCAGAAGTCAGAAAGAACAAAGAAAACACTTACACCAAAGCATTATATGCAGTTGCTTATGATAATCTATCGCTCTATGATTGGTCAAAATTTGCTATCATTACCATACATAATTAGCAAGTTACATATATCTGCCCCTCTGGTGACCCCTTATTGTTCATTTACTTGCCCCCTCCTTGCTTATTTTGCAAACTAAGTGGTTAGTTATCTATAGGATACAGGCACAGGGAGTTCCATTGTCTATAGGTTTGGAGTTTGGCTACATTTCCTCTCGAAGGAACTTCCTGAGTTAAG